TGCTTCACTTATTGGACAGTTGTGACATCACATTCTAGAGAATAGATGGGCGAAACCAAATGAGAGTAACTCAGCAATAAAGCTAGCACAACAATAACAACCACAAGGACTTTTTGTCTGGAGTACTGGCGGTGTATATCCCTGGATTTCAACACATTCAAAATTCAACGGCTAGAGTACTGTGCAAGCGGTGTATATATCCGTGGAATTCAAAACATTCAGAATTCAACAGCATTTCATAATCGTTAGAATTTCAACACAAATGACATGATCCCTGAAAAGACTAATTTTCCCTGCTGTTTGGAGCACTCGTAGATTCAACAGGTGATGACGCCGTTGCCATCGCGACCTTTGCCTGTTTGTGTCCTTGAATCTTGATTAGCGGCAATGCTTAAATTTGATCCTAACTTATAAACGTCCGTTTTCTTCTTGGAAACGTTTTTTTAAACTAATTTCCAAACGCTCTGGTGGTCCACTTTGATCAGTTTTCTGTATCAATTCACATTGCGCTTTCTAAAATATTTAGTAAATCTCATTCTTTAAGTGGTTCTGCAAATCTTCTGTTTGTCTCTTTCCAATCTACTTCTCGTGTGATTTTCTCTATCTCCATTTCAGATTGGCCTGAAAAAAGTCACTTTAAACATAAAAGTTGGCCTCTTATTTTCCTCCTCTATTTCCAAAAATTCACTCAAGGCACCATTAAAGACAACCTGTTTCTCAAGTGTCCATACATTTGAGTGAGTTACAAAAAGAACCTCCTCAGCGTCAGAGGACATTGTGCCATATGAACACATGTGCACTCTACTGACTCCAAAACCATACATTAGCTTTTGCTTGAGCTCTAGGGTGACTATAGCTTCATCTTATACTGTCCAATAAGTTAAATGGGTCAGTAAACACCAATAGGGAAATTGTTACATGAATCAGTATAAGAGGCACTCAGAGAGGACTGTTTTAAGTTAAATATAAGCCTCAAACTGTCCTATAATTGACAGAGAGAACTGGGTCTGAAGTCACGAAACCATTCTCATGCTCAAGCATGGATTTTCTGCTCAAGCCTAATTTCTTGTTTCCGTTATAAATTAATAATAAAATCTTAATTTGTCAATGATTCGGGGAAAACTGAAGAGATTAAAGCCGAATATTGTTTTCAGTGTTTACATTGACTAATTGATCGTCTGACTTGATTTGAATGAGTTACTAGAAAGTTGGTTTGAGCACAATATCCATGCTTGAGCATGAGAACGGTTCCATGAAGATGGGCCCAGGTCTCGGCCCTGGGCCTCGACAGTTGTCTTTTCTAGCACTTATTGGACAGTTTCCGGCTTATACCCATAACTTACATTACGTCTAGGAATTATACATGATGTATGAGGACATTCTTAGTTTTTAAACTTCTAGGTATCTGTACATACATTTTACATTGTCTTCCCGAAAAAAAAAGCGTAGCTGAATTGAGTCATTTCGGTATTGTACTAGTCATCGAAACGTCACATAGAAATTGTAAGTTATGAGGCCTTTTGTTAAAAAATCTTTGTCTAGACAACTCTTCCTTAACTACTAGGACGATTTCAGCAAAACTGGTTTATCTGGGCTAACAAGATTTGGTATGCAAGTATGTTTTGGCATGGGGAGGGAGTACAGGAAACATGTCAGTGACCTATATACTTAATGATTTATGGATTGCTTTGCAATGCTCTGCCTTAGTAAGCCTTTAACTTACAGTTCTGGTTTATATAGGAGCGGGAGGTATTAGTTAGCCTTTGGCTTACATTTCTAGTTATTATTTCATTTTGCCTTTTGACCGTTCATTAAACAAAATATGAAAGAATATTATTTTAAATCGTTAACTCTAAACAAATAAAGCAAGGAAGGATATCCTTGTCTGACTCCGCAGGCAATTTTTTTTATTTTAGCTCATTTGATTTTTGTGACCTTGAACGAAGGTCAATGTCATCAACGTTTACAAAACTTAAATCCATTCACATGAACAACCTACTTGTCAAATATCCAGACCCAAGGACTTTTGGTCGAGAAGAATCACAAGTTAAAGGAAAAGTGGAAAGAAAGATATGTTTTTCTTATTTTTGAATCAAAAGTTATATGACTTTACCGGTTATCATTTTTTTTGTAATTCCTGATGTTGAAAGATATTAGAAGTAGCAAACCCTTAAGCAAGTATGAAAAATAGACTCGTTTTAGAACTATGTAAAGTAACGTGTCAAAAATGGAAATGTTCTCATTAGTAATAAAATTTCACATACTTTTCTGCTTAAATCTTCAATAAAAAGAACATATCTTTCTTGAAATAGTGTAGTATTCGGTATCAAAATAACAGTTGAAATATGTTGCATACTTTGATGATAACATTTTATAGTAATTGTGTCATTTAAATCCTCTAGGAGGAATTGTATTACCGTACCTTTAACACCCACACAGGTGTAAGTAAATGAGGTCCCATTTATCATAAAATGAATTCTGAAACTAACTGTTCCTGATTTAAGCTTCCTATACCCATACCTTTTTGGATTTATCTTGTTTTGAAATTCCAAGCGAGAGCCGACACTAATATTAATGTTAAATCATTATAGGCGTTGACTCTACCTTTGATGCACTTCCATCCCTCGCTCGCGCAAACGTCTGATGACCGAAAGTGTGACAAACCTACAATATGTAGTCTGCAGTCTATATTTACAGTATGGTTAGATAATTTCAATCTCTTTATTAACCCGCTGATACTGATACACAGCCAGAGAAATCGAAGGTCAGAAATAGATATGTATGACGTACGCCTGTACACATACATATCTAGAAACGGCTACACCGAGTATCTTTTTTATTTGCTAAAATCCAGAAAGATTATACACATAAACTTTCATAAGTGCTATCATCAAAAGAAACGTCACATTGTTGATCGTCTGGATCTCGTTGTATCGATGTGAATAAGTAACTTAGTCTAGAAATGTGCCTGTGTTGTTTTTATTGACGCGTCTCTAGATCTGTTGTATATTCACCATAAATATATATATTCAAACAACATATCAACGTAAACTGTTCGAACAAAAGTGGCGCGTTATTTACAAATTAACACATTCAAGTCACATGAAAGAAATCCAAACAAAATGAGGATGTTGGAATCCACATTCATTATCAGCTACAGAAAATGAACAGTTCGACTGCTTCCCAGTCGAAACATGGGAAACCCCGAAGATTAAGAATGTTTGTACGAAAGACGGTAAATATTTGACGGAATCTGGAACATGTTTATAGTTTCGCCAATGTTGCGGAATTTATTGCAATAAGAATGCTGAGCATGAAAGGTAGGCCTGTTCCTAAATTCTTCTGAAATACGTAGAGTTTAAAACTTATCAAAAAGTTGCGTCTATGCATTGATATTTTCGCTATTATTACTGGAAACATGCATTCGTCATCCCGTTCAAAAATGTCCTTGATCCGCGCCTGAAACTTTATAAGTATTACTGTCAAATATTAAATGTATCGCTATTAATGACGTCAACAACACTTTTAATTTTTATCACGGATTTAGATAGCAAATTCCGTGTTTTCATCAACCTTTTTTTTACTAATTTTATGCATGTCTTGTTAGATTTACAAAGATTTACGTGAACCGTGATAAATGTTCTTATATTTTTTACATTGAAACCAGATGTAGATAGTTTCCTACAGGGATTTATTCTTTCGTGAATATAAGGCTATCTCTCCTGGTATATATAGTGATATTAAAACTGAGGACTAGATCTAAAGGTTCCATTAACAGTCTAGAACATTTACATCAAACGCCATGCCACTCTAGATCTGCTAATGAAATTACACCAACTGATGTTCACTAAAAGGTCAATAAATTTGATACAGCTTAATTCAATATAAGGTATCATATCGTTCTATAATCGATATCATCATGTTCTATTGTTTCCATATATATCGTCCAAAATACACCCACTGAAGCAAGTTTTTCATACGAGGGGAGATAACTGCTACACTCCTTCATCATAACTTTTGACAAGCGGTAGAATGGAGGATTCTCAACGTAGTAAATAAGCTAACGATTTGTGTTCTAAAGAAATGGGAAGAAAATGGAGAGAAAATACCTAAATGGGCGCAGCTCATCAGTTTTGGTTTGTCCAATTGCACATAATCAATTATATTCTATGACCTTTCACATTGGGGAACTGAATATTAAGTGACATTTACCCTAAGTTTAGTTTCTATCACATTTTATATCCGCCCATCACATATCTATTAAATTGTCTGGACCATAATTAACTTCTTTAACTTCAATAGGCTTCAACTTCATCCACACTAAATGGTGCACGCGTCACACACAACCATGAACACGTGGTCTAGTTCCCTGTCGCCAAGGTCAAGGCCACGAATACAGTTTAAAGGTCAAATGTCATTTTTTTTAATTTTTCAGAATCATAGCTACTGTATCCTGTTTGGTTGAAGAGAATTTCATGAAACTTTACTGAATCGAATATCAGGAGATGATGTGTCGCTTACCATCCTACATGTACCTTCCTAACTTCAAGGTCACAATCTCGAATAGACCTAGACGTAAAGGTGAATGAAATACATGTCGTTTTTCTTGTCAAGATCATAACTTCTGTGGAGTGCTTTGGTGAAACTTCTTGATTGTTGGTTTGTTATGGTTTTATTTTGTTTTACAACATATCAACAGCTAAGGACCTTGAACATATCTATCTAGCATCATACATGTACGTGACAAGTTGTAAAGGTGTCTGTCAGGTGCTAATGGCCACAGGTCGGTGGTTTTTCTCCGGGTAATCCGGTTGTCCTCCACCACCAAAACCTGGCACGTCCTTAAATGACTATAGCTGTTGATATGGTCATGGACGTAAAGTACAGACAAACCAAACCAATCATAACACAATTGTATACACTTGGTTCTGTACGTCCATTGTATTGGCACTTGGTCTGTAATCATTGCTGGTGATATAACAACAAACGAGAACACCAAATGTTACTCACAGCACCAAACTTTATTACTTAACTGTTATTTATTTTCAAGTTAACATAAAACACACTCTCATAAATATCTTCGGAATAATATCATGTTCTTCTAGAGATTCGTACACCGTAACAAAAATTTCAGGATAAAGTTCTAAATGTACGTCTTTAAATGGTGATAAACTTTCAACAACAGTTTGCCCAGTAAACATTAGGCGTGATCGCTAAACTCACTTAAACTCTACGAGATTACAACACAAACTTACAGTACAAACAGGATTCATACACACATGTAAAATACTTAAGTAACATAGTCAGCACTGTCTGATTAACTCATTCACCCCTGAAATTTCATAATGAACTATTCCAACCTTTAATCTGAAAGAGTTCAAATGTGTCTTCGGGGGGGAATGAGTTAATGGCTGGGGTTTGGCTATATTTGTCTAGCAATATATCTATAAAAATATCTAAAAAAAATCAGTTTTGAAATAGCAATATATTGCCAGACTTTCTCAACTTTTTGTTCGGGGTATAAGCACACTAATGAAATCATTTTACAGAAATAATGTTAAAATGGATTTAGTATTATCCAAATTAAGCTTTGTGTGATACTGTATATGAATATAAAACAGTTTTCAGCTTAACAGTGAAGCTTGCTGAACTGATGGTCACTTTTCAATTTTTTTCTATATAACATTATTATAAATATTTTGGCATTTAATATATTGCGATATATTGCAATATTCTTAAATAATTAATGCAATATTCTGCAACATGAAAAGTGCTATCAATACCCAACCCAATCATTAACAGTTATAACTATAGAGCACCCCAATTCCCTGAGAGGTACATACAACAAATACCTTCTGCAATGCGATATATTTGTTTGAATTCATGTCAATTCACTATTAGAGTACTACATACATACAGCTAGCATGTGGAAAGATTAAAATATGAAGATAATATCAAGACATACATCGACATTAACCCTTTCATCACTGTAGACCATAATGGACTCATCCATATCAAATAATGGTAGAGGTTATTGAAGTTGCATAGGGGTAAAAGGGTTAAATCCTATTCATCCTTGTGCAAATAAAAATCTCTGCAAATAAATTGTTCAATGCAAATTCTTTAAAATAGGAACTCACGAAAATGAAGAGAATTACAGTATAATGGATGGAACACCAGCCCTTCCAAGAATTTCTATGATCTCTCGAGGTAGTCGGTGGTAATGGAGACTGATGGAAGAAAGCTATGCTACACTGAAGTTGCCTTTTTATCTAAAATAGAATTTCAGTTACCTTATTTTTAAATAGTCTTCATCTAACTTTATTAAAAGCAATCCAGAAGCCAAAAGGCCTACCAGTCATCTGATACATGTTTTAAAATGGATAATTGTGAAGGGGATTATGAAAGGTAGAGGTCAGTTTACCAATAAATGTACTGTAAATGTAATTACATTTTCATGATGTCGTAAGTTAGTTTTGGTTAAAATATTGTAAAATTGTGAACACTTTATTTTCCAGAGATATTAATTGTTGTGTCAATTTGCGAGAGGCCTCATTCAGAAATTTCAATCCTTCACAAATATCTTTTTAAGAGATACATGTAATTATATGTTCAACATTGAAATAGCACTCTCTTTAATACAGTGATTTTTCTACTCTTTTACACAGAGGCCTGGTACTTAATTGTGACATTTGAAACATCACACACAAAAAACATGATTTTTGGGAAAATTAAAGTGTTTTTGCAATGATAATGGGGGAAAATTCAGCCGCAATTATGTAGGGGAAAGGGCTTTAAAATAGCAAAAAAATATCAATGTGTTAATTTAAGTAATCTCCAAATATATCAAAAAATGTATAGTCCACAATATTAAGAACAAACAAAAATAAAGTTATTAGCAGTATGGTAACTCCATAGACTTGACAGAATTAGTTATTTAGTGATGAACTACTATGTTGTTGTCACCTTCGAATTCCAAGTGTCAGCTATTCCGACGGCTCAGAACATTGCATACTTGGTCGTATAGGAAGAAGTTGGAGGCAGACATGAAGCCTGCCTTGATTAGACTGGGTGACAGACCTTTATACATACCCCTAACCCCTTCTTCCCGTAACACACATACTAAACAGTTTATAAACCCGCGGTACACACGTATGGCGCCAAACTCCTTACGTATCTGTTCCACACCTTGTAATTCTAGCCTCTTTTTGGTCATGTCCAATGGGTAGGCAATAAGTTTGGAGATGATCCCTGATCCCGCTCCACACACCAAACTTTCTGTTATACCTGAAAAAAAATATCAAAAATATGTCTTACTACCACTTGAACAAAGCATTCATCCCAAATTAACAAAGTCTGGCTGCATACCTGGTAACAAAATGTTCATCCTGCCTGCTATTAATGCATACATCCCTGAAATTTCATAATGAACTATTCCAACCTTTGAATTGGAAGAGTTCAAATGTGTCTTCAGCGGTGAATGAGTTAAGTAATGTAAACGACTAAAAAACATTCAACAAAATGATTTTCAATCTCAAAAGTGAAATCAAAATTTAGGATGTTTTTATATAGGACAATTGAAGTGCATTCAAGCATAAACTACAAAGGAATCTTACAAAAGGCAAAACAATCTCAGAAAATCAAAGGAATTCCCAGCCAGTCTAACTGAGTCCCTAAGAATCTTGTAACGAGTGACACTGTAACACATACCCAGCTTCCCTCCTAGGGGTCTGTGTTCCATCCACTGCCATATCGACGTGAGACCAGAGTACAACCCAAACTGTAGTCCCATCTGAAAGCCTGTCTGTATGAGGGCTGGGCCCAGACCTTTGTAAAACCCTAGAATTCCCTCGGTCTGTTTAATCTTCTTTATCCCCGACAGCAGGCTTGAGTAGGTCTGATACAGAAGATTTAAATATGGTAAAATATAATGGACAGGTTGTTTGGAAAATATTTGCATTCTTCTTCAAATCTACAAATTCATATGTTTTTATCACTGTTGACGATGTGATTTATGAAATGAATCAGAAAAATTTAGTTTTAGTCTCAGACTTGACAAGAAAATATAATTATAGATGAGTTTTATAAATTTCTTTGTGTGAAATGGTTGAAAATAATAATAATATAAAGCTTATTTCTATCACATAGCCATGACTTGATACAAAGTGAAATGTACTGCATGAACAATTTTCTGGTACAGTGTACAATATATCCGGACAGTCACAGGAAATGTGATTTCAGCTACAGTTAATTGTCATTACAGTCAGACAAGCTTAATCCTAATGGCTCCTTTTATCTATATAACTAGCAAAGTCAACACTCCTGCATCAAACACCTACAACTAAATTGTTGACGTTCACATACAGTACTCAGTGATCAGGTGGTCATCCATGGCAACAGGAAGTTACAATCTCCATTACGTCGTCAATGTTAACTTTGGTCCGCACAAGCAAGTATATGCAGTAAGGCTTTAAAGTACAATGGTTTGACCATTATTCAGCTTTCAATTGATCATAAATAACGAGCCGAATTAGGACCACTAATGTAATTTTATTATCAAACAATTATTATAATTACATGATTTAGTTACCTTGATGGAACCCTGTGCAATGAAGCGTGTACGAAGAACATCGGCTGGGTGAGCTAGCACTGTAGCTGAGCAGGCGGCTAAGCTTCCACACACAGTGTGGGTTAGAGGGCGGTACTTAGTCGAGCATTCTTCAGGGAGATGCTTCCACACCAACTTGGTCAGGAACTCAAAAGTCACAAACTACAAACAACAGACTTTAAGGTATTGCTTTACCTATGTATGTAAGTGCATTAAGGATACAAACCGTTTCTAGTAGTCTTAATTACAACAATTACATCATGTTCGAAGAATATTTTTTCTTTAGATGTGCGAAAACCTCGGTTTATTCTCTATGTAGGTCGGGGTACAGAGAAACAGTCGTCATAAACCTATTTTGTTAATTCAATTTAAATTTTAAAAAATAAAACAAAATTGAATTGTACATTTTCAAGGCAATAAAAATATGTTTAAACCAAGGTGTAAAAGATAATCAAAATGTTGAGTCATTGGGCGTACCTTATGAATGTGCTTAATATGGAGCATGGTTTGAATGAGTAAGGGGATGGGAGCTGGGAGTTTGGGGAAGGTGTTTTATATGAGTCCCCTTCATCTTTTAGGATATACATGCAGTGGGTCACACAGCAGGTCTATTCTTGTCTTTCTTAACATTTTCTTCGGGTTGGTAAGTATGGATTATGAAAAGTTACACAACCAATAAAAAATTATATGTGACGTTTCAATGACATATTGTACTAGTCATCCAAATGTCACATAGAAAATTGTATTGGTTGTGTCTTGGCGCCCACCTTTGTACCATCTTCATTAGTTCTTTGTCAGTTCGATCTTTTCTTTTCTTTCCTCTAATCTGTTTGATCGAGTCATGTTAACAGTAAATGCACCTTGAGGTATCTTTTGATCTAAACTTAATACTGATGTGTATGAAAGCCAACCATCAAAGTGAGTTTGTCATTTCACATATTTACTAGTACAGTACTTAATGTGAAAGAAATAGAATCGATCATTGCAATATGAGAAAGATCTGTTTAGTCCTTCTTTTAATCCATTTTGTTTTTATGATCAGTCTCAAAATATAACATACACAACGAGGGATCAAGGGGAACCTACATTTAAAATTTGAGAAAGATCCCTCCTGTACCTCCCGAGAAACAGCGATAACAAACTTTCTTTATCAAAATCCAAGATGGCTGCCTGTCGGCCATGTTGTTTATCCGACCAGTCTCAAAAGTTGCCCTCCACAGCTCAGGACCAAGGGGAACCGACATATAAAATTTGAGAAACATCCCTCTGGTACTTCTTGAGAAATAGTGATAACAAACTTTCACTATCGAAATCCAAGATGGCTGCCTGTCGGCAATGTTGTTTATCCGACCAGTCTCAAAAGTTGCCCTCCACAGCTCAGGACCAAGGGGAACCTACATATAAAATTTGAGAAAGACCCCTCCTGTACCTCCCTAGAAACAGCGATAACAAACTTTCAATATCGAGATCCAAGATGGCTGCCTGTCGGCAATGTTGTTTATCCGACCAGTCTCAAAAGTTGCCCTGCACAGGTAAGGACCAAGGGGAACCTGTATATAAAATTCGAGAAAGATCACTCTGGTACTTCTTGAGAAATAGAGATAACAAACTTTCACTATCGAAATCCAAGATGGCTGCCTGGCGGCCATGTTGTTTATCCGATGAATCTCAAAAGTTGCCCTCCACAGCTCAGGACCAAGGGGAACCGACATATAAAATTTGAGAAAGACACCTATGGCACTTCTTGAGAAATAGCTATAACAAACCCACACTATCAAAATCCAAGATGGCTGCCTGGCGGCCATGTTGTTTATCCAATCAGTCTCAAAAGTTTTCCTGCACAGCTAAGGACCAAGGGGAACCTACATATAAAATTTGAGAAAGACCCCTTTGGCACTTCTTGAGAAATAGCGATAACAAACTTTCTCTATCAAAATCAAGATGGCTGCCTGTCGGCCATGTTGTTTATCCGACCAGTCTCAAAAGTTGCCCTGCACAGCTATGGACCAAGGGGAACCTACATATAAAATTTGAGAAAGATCCCTCTGGTACTTCTTGAGAAATACCGATAACAAGCATTGTTTACGGACAGATGACGTACGACGTACGACGGACGACTGACGGACCACGGACGCAGGGTGATTTGAATAGCCCACCATCAGAAAATGGTGGGCTAAAAAGAACTTTTCATAAAAGGTCTATTCTTGGTTACTTCAATGTCCCCTAAAAATATGACAAGGAAGAAACCAGCCCCCGATTTTGCAGGTTGGCTACATTAATTGCCTCTTACGATCATGCAGTGGGGTAGAGCAGGTCTCGTATAAGGATCAATGCAGAGTGGTGGAAGACATGACTAGCTGGCAGGAGAAATACATTTACTTCTTTTTGTACATTGTAGTATGTGTGTTTTTGTTGCAAGTCGCAGTCCCAGTGATGTGTTGGGAGATATGAAAACATGAAGACAATTTAAGCATTTTGGAGTAAGTAAACATACCTGTCCTACCCCATACACCACTGACAGAAGTTGAGCAGGGACATGCCCCTTCCACAGAGCCCTGGTACCCTCCTCCTTTATGATGGTCCTAGTGGCTTGGTATATACCCCAGTACTTGGACGAGTTCTGCTGTTGGATGGGCTCAATTTGCAACTGTTCATCAAAACAACCATAGATTAATTTATGTCACAGATAATAACATAATCAATAAGACTATAGGGTGTTAGGTCATTCCCTTGTAAAGACATAGTTTAACAAGTGTACCTTGGATTTAAATCACCACTATAAGGTTTGGGACATAACTAAATCAGGTCTACTAAAGTTTTGTAAAGTAAGCCAAACAGATTTAGATCTTAACTAAATTTGAGAATGTCGACAAATCAGATGCCTGGTTGGCCATCTTGGATTTTGCGTACCTACAGTATCTTTAGGTTGGGGTGGTCAGGTGGCAGAGCACTTGCCTTTCACCATGACTAAAAGATATTTGGTCACCTGTCAGACAAAGCATTTTGTCTCTTAGTACTCCAGTTTACCCCACATTAAGACCCCCCCTGTGAACTTCATAATGACAACAAAAGTGATTAATCCATGAATTAGTTTATTATATTAATATGTAAATTTGATTCATAACTGCTATACGGTGGATTAAGGTTAAATTTTGATGCCTGAAGACTGACTATGACACTATGCTCTACATTTGTGGCATGCGACTTAAAAATTCCATCAAATTAGGAAATATTTATAACAAAAGCATGTACCGGTACATGTTCTTTTGCTGATTCTGAAATTTTTTGACAATAATAAAAATCAGATCAGGTAATTAAACCCAGCTTGTTTTATGCATTGAACATAATACATGTCACAGATATATTCTAATATAAACTTATGTGTTAAATTTTACACTTGTGTTAGATTAAAAATTATTTAAATTACCCTAAATCTGTTGTCCATATTCAATAATGCTTCCATTATTTATTGCAACACCCTTTAAGCCCAGTGTCATATATAACGTTATGCCTTCAGCATGGCATTTCAGTGGGGTAGCACTATAAAGTCTGCAACTGATCCACGCTATCATAAGGAGGCAAATACGCCAACATACCCTGACTCCAGCACAAATACACACATGCAAGCATACACAACACACAATGAGGCACATCGATCCTTAAATGACCTTAGCTGTTGATAACTTGAAAGGACGTTCAACCCTTTAAAAACCAAACCAAACCAAACCCTGGGCCTTGGGCAATCAAGCTAAAGCTTATTTCACACACAATATAAATGAAGTCTGTAATTACTACCTGCCATGTGTGAAAGTATTCACTGACCTGAAATCTGACTTTAAGGACATCGAGGGGCTGAAACATGACCCGCGATACCACCCCACTAACAGCTCCAGCCAAAGCATGCTCTTTGCCCGTCAGATGGACATCTTCCTGTGCCCGGTATCCAACCATAAGTCAAGTGGATTAGCAGCTTCTAGTTATGAAAAAATATTCTACTGAAATCAAGTGTGAAAGAAAACTTAGTAATAGAATACAGTTAAAAATACAATTTGTGTGCATACACAGGCAGCCTTGAATATTAGAAGTGATAAAACAAAAACAACATGCATCATTGTAATCTTCATCTTTCCATGTAATAATTATTATCTATTATCAAGAAAGCTGTAGCGAAAAAACTGCAAATGTCCATGATAATGACATGTACTTCTATATTTGGATATGATGTTACATGTTCCTGCAGGCCAACATGTACAACACCTGGTGGGTTGCAGTAGTGCATACACACTTAAGGTTAACATGTGGTCAAAACAGTGTCTTGATTAGAGTGGATGGTCAGTCTCCAATTATGATCAGTGTAATGAGAGATTTGATTTTGATTAGACTGGCCACAGGGCATATGCATATGAATCTGGTATGTAGGGTAGGCAGACTATTATATATTTCAACATGTATGGAACAGTGGAACCTCCTACCCAAAACAATAATCCAATCAGAAACACTGGCAGAATTCAGGACATGCACCACATATATAACATAATCGAACATATACCAAACCTACAACATAACTAACACACATACACTCACTGCTTTTAACGTGATTTTATCTTATAGCAAATAGCAGAAATATAATTAAAAAAAAAATCACTGTACATAATAATTAATGCACAAGCACAAAACCGACTTCCGTAATCGTCAGTATCGACGGAGGAAGCTGAAGATGAAGATATTTACATACCAGATACAGGTGCCTGTGGACTGGCGGAGATTAGCAATAGCATTGGCATAACTGAGGATAACTTTGTGTATGTTTGAAACACGATGAATATTTGTCATCATTTTTAGAATATGCTGACAAGCACATCAAGAAGCGAATAGACGCTTACAACGGTGTCACCTGCAATGAGCCAATGAACCAAAAGAAGAGTACTTTAACTTACATGACGTACAGCGCAGTAAACTACACGTGGTGGTGTGGGGGGGGGATACGTACGCAGCGTGCATCTCAATCGATTTTCTAGTGTGACTAAATCTGTCATAGATTATATTTCAATCAGTAATTTCGATGAATTATACCTTTGTGCCATTAAAGCCATGTGCTCTTTCAAGTGCTGATTTAGAATCCGATACCTAACCGTTGTTGGTGATCGGCTGAAATGCATCCATAACATCGTACAAGGCCACAAAACCGAAAGTAGTAATGTTCGATGGGAGGTAACTCGAACAGAAATTGCAGGAGGTCACACTCACTAAATTGAAGTTGGTGCTAATATATATATTACAGTTTCTTCTAATCGCCTACAGTTAACACAGTGTGTCTCTGGTAAACTTTTGGAATTTTATTCATTTTGAAAGTTGATAATTTTAAAAGCATATGTAATTCATATTACATTAAAATTAAACTGTTGGTCGCTGTTTGGACGTATATATATATATGTAATTCAACGATTAAAAATTCTGTTGCTCGCATAGAAATGAAAAATTCAACCGGAGTGGTTCATATTTATGTTTCCAGTGAAAGCAAAACATCTGAAACGGTTTGACGCTATCGATTTTTGCAGATAAAAAAAGTCCTTGTTAAAAGCGTTTAAGAAAAAAATCTAAAAGTGCGCACTAGGCCTAGATCATAAACTATTTGGTAATGAACAATAAATGCAGCCCGAAAAAAGGCGGTGAAAGAATAGCGTTCCCTTCACCACATGTGGTTCCCGTATATAGTATAGAACAAGTTTGAATACACTGATTTGTACGGGATCGTTGCATTACATGGTATCCCAAAATAAATTAAAAAAAAGTTCTCTATAATTGCCATCGTGAATTATTTATTGATTTGTTTAAAAAAAAACATTTCCACAATACTCCTTTTAATCAATGTACTGTGGCCCCGGTTTCCCCAATCATCAGGCGACATATACCCTATATATATACAAATCCCTATAATCTGATGACAGAAAATAAGATACAACCTTAATGTTAATTTCTAAGCTCGAAAAATTGTGGCTAAATTAAGTTTTAATTTTTAAGTTTGGGCAACACCCTAAATAAATTCCTGTACCGCCCCTGTGTGCTCACCTAGGCGGTTTGGGAGAATACAGAGACGTATATATTGTAATATATATGTCTCTGAAGAGTACAATTAAATCTTATGAGAAATATATATTTAAACGATAATTAAGAGTATGCGAATTCAACAATAATCACGTGCGCAAAAAATCATGTTTTGACTACTTTAATTGATGGAGAGCATGCTGATGATAATACATTTTCTTTGCTCAGTAATATACATAAATGGCTTTGCTACGGTGCATCACGTCTGAGATAACAAATCTAAAAGCTTATCTAATTCCGCCGGTGCAATAAATGCATTGCTTACTACAATTATTACTACTTTTTTATTGTTTTTTTTTTGTGAAGACGGCTCGATTATTCAAGTAAAATTGAGGGTTAAGATTGAACATAATTTGTTCATTGTTTTAGCCCCATTTAGAAATTAAATTTAATCAAGTTTAACGTGTGAAATGTGACATTTGTTTGTGCATTTCAATTGTGACGTCATATACAATGGATAGTAAAATTCTAACTTTAAGTAAAGTTTACACTCAATGAAAATGCTATTTTCCAGAATATTTCACATAAGATCTGAAATGATTGAAATGAAAACTTCTAGCTTTGTGTCTGTTTCATGAATATTACGATATTTACGGAAATTCGAGTGAGTTTTGAAAATGGAAATATACTAGTAAATTAAGAACTGAGAGATTACTATGGCTTCTACATATTGATTTATATAATTTGAAACAAAAGTAACTAGATAAAAAAAAAAAAAAAAATTGTTTAAGCAGGAACAGTTAAAATGTCATAATCTCCATTCTAAACGTTTAATCATTTTCAATTATCAAAAGTTGCATAATTGTTGAAAATTTCTGTATGATGGGCCGACAGGCTCTTTCCACCAAATATATGACTTATGGAAACACGGGATTTCCACGGGAAATTCGGTTACGTGCTATTTAAGTCTGTTGTATTGATATAAACATCGTCACCAGAAGCCATGTAGAAATTTACATGCGCTTGTGGTGGGTCTACATGATAATTTTTTATCAGTAATTAACGAAAGCGGGAGGATAACGGAACAGCGGCTGTCAAGGTGAAGGACGTTCTAAAAATCAACATGGCGGACAGACCTCACTGGAGAATGTTTATTTACGGTGTTTGGTGTTTGGTGTTACTGGCCATATGTGTACCACAATTTTGTAAGTTTTTGTACGGTTTGGAACTGAATATATCAATGACACGATATATATACTTTATTACGAATAATTTTGAGAAGTTCTCTTAAAGTTTGGCCGTAGACTTCATGTCTACATCGGGGCTGTGCTTTGTTATGAACAAGCAGCTGATTGTATATATTTTTTGGTTCCGTGTAATCGGCTACAGTTAGATCTAGAATGATGTGGCAATCATTTTTGTCCACATTTGTACTAAAGTTCAAATAGTATTTTATGTAAATTGCCTCAAAGCTTGTTTATTTTGAAATTTGAATGATATCGTGGTTAAAAAAAATCTGTCATGACACTTAAAAAATATCAAATGACAAGATTTGGTGACAAACGTTAAAGGAGTGGTTTGTACTTGTGTGGCTGTCAAGCTTGAACAATTTGGTGATCCTAGGTCCAATTAATTGTTACAGCTTGCATGATAGAATTAACTGTTTGGTCAATATTTAATATTAAAGTAATTTTCAGCACTCCCAACATCTACTTTGTAAAATAACACTACAGTACATATCCTACTTATAAAAGAGGAAGAGACAGCGAGTCTGACAGTTTCCCGAAGACTTTACTGTGGAGTGGTGATATACCGTAGCACACAACTTTTTATACATACACACGTAAAGAATATCACGATTCGCACTTGCATACATTTATTGAAACTTGTTATGGACAATTTATAAAGTTATCTATATGTTGGAGTACAGTTGTTTGACATCTACCTCACTATAGTGAGCAGTTTGGTTATCCTGCAGACTAAGAAATTGATTTGGTTATTAAATATCTTTCTAGATATATAGATATGGCCATCCACCCCCATATAAATTTGATCACTAATTTTCTGCTATGGTGAATTTTTCTATAACTCTAAAATATAGAAGGTACGTACACCAACTGGTAATGATGCAAGCAGTCTTAAAGTTAAAAGATATTTAATAAGGTGCTCATTACACTTTGTCAACACTTATATGTGTCACTGTCAGTAATAATAATAAGGTTCGAAATGACATATACATGTATCAAATGAGGTAGTATAAACATGTATACTAGCTAGTTCAAATTCATAATCTTAAAAAATGACTGAAATCTTCCTAAGCCTGAATATTATACATTTATTGCCGTAATTATAGGGGAAACATAAATCTTTAGAGCTAGATTAATAAATTTAATGTTCCACGGCGGCAGAACCCAAATGAAACATGATAATTCAAAGGAAAGGAAGAATTGTGTTTCCCTGTCGTAAGGCATAGGGCAGTAAATCCAAATAGTTCATTATACCAAAATAAGACAACAACACAACTGTGAAAATAATCAGACTTCTGCACCATTGTTGTCGTCTGCTTCAGTCACTTGGAACTCGGGTGCGGTGCCTCTTCCTAATTTTTCTAGAAAGGCTGAATACAAGGTACACATACCCTGGTAACTCCAACTCATGAGGGGTATTTTATGTTTTATTTCCCTATCATGTGTTATCAAAATAAATAAATCCAATTAGACAGGCTGTTGTTAAGATGCGCAATATGAGGAATAATTATATTTACATGTAGTACATTTGTATTGTTTTCAGCCGAGGGGTTGAGGTGTTATTGTGATCATTGTGAGGACACACACCTCAATAACACATGTGTAGCTAAGCCGAACACCAAGTGTTTTGTCTCCTTGAGAGTGTCGGTGGAAGAGGACGGAGAAAAGTATGAAATTATGACCTATGGCTGTCTCCCTCCAGACAAAGTCACCATGGACCAGGTATGTTCTCCATGACAAATAAATGCACCATATAGAAAATAACAGGCGAAAATTAGTGTAAATCGTCTTCAAAATATTGAATGCATTTGAGATGATCTAAACGAAAAACAAAACCAAAAAATAATTAAACACTGTGTTATTGACAGAGTTGTTATTGAGATAGTGATGGTCTTGTTTCAGTGTAAGGGCAATCTTGTGCCCCATGAAGTCCCGAAAGTGGTGGAATGCTGTGACTCGTCCGACCTCTGTAACCTCCACCTAAACATAACTTACATGGAAACCATATTTGATGAAGGTATGTAAAGGAATAATGAATTTTTGTGTTTTTAACAGTTTTCCGAAATAACATGAATATTTACAAGAATTTATATGTGCGAAGATTTGACATTGTACCTTTAATTAGTATAAGTCTATATTGTTTTCCTACAAGTTTTAAAATTTTGATTGAATTACTCTGAAACAATTTTTCACTAGAGAATTGTTTTAATTAGATGTTTTATATGTACATGTTGGCAAAGTTTAATTACTTGCTATATGGAATTGTGTGATATATTTCAGATGAAGATTTAGGTAACAAAGAAGCAGACATAACCCATCTGGCTTTACTGATATCTGTGTCGGTGTGTCTCATCATATTCATCGTCACCATCACAAGTCTCTACATCAGGTCAGTGTGAAAGACGGTGTAGAAAACACAGTAGCAACAGATAGGTCATTCTGGAAAACGGGTATAAAGTCAGTGTTCATTTGACATTATCATCTATATACATGTACTACAATATACCATCTACCAGTAGCATGATCAATTCATTATCATGGGTTGTCAGTATGAGAATACTCGAGAATAAGTTGAGAATGACTAGAGAACGCCTTGAAAATAGATTTTCCCATCTGGGATCCTGGGAATGTATTTTCTCAAAACAAATGTCTGCTTGTGCGGCTGTGCCAGATAATTAAACATCCTGAATGGGAAACAGTATTCACACGAAGTCAGTCTGCACAAGAAAATGGTCTGTCATAAACAAATCATTTTAAAAATTATGAAGATAGGTTATTACGTGACATTTTATGAATGGAAAAATATAAAAGGTATTGGTATAGAGATGATATACAGTTTATCACACACAGTATGTCCAGGGTTTGTCTTTCAAACAATTTTCTCATGTTAGCATGTTTATAAAATCTAGACGACCAGTTATAACAAAATATGAATAAAACATTTAATGTGTTCTATATCTGTAATACGATATAACGGTGTGTTTTAGACATCGGCGACGTGATGACTACCCAGAGCCGTTCCTTAAGGATGAGCAGAGTGAGTCGTTCATGCATCATGGTGATTCCATTAGAGGACTTATAGACCACACATCTGGTAGTGGGTCAGGACTTCCATTCCTGGTAGGAACTACAACACTTTCTTTTCATAAGTTAGAATTTATATTTCAAAGACACTGTGTAAATAAGAAGCTCCTTTGTATTATTTAAACTCTCAAAATTCTCCACAAAACATACCGGTATGATAATCATATTAATGCTGATAATGAACTAGCTACACATACGATACGTTGTTAATCTGGGTACATACCTCTTAAATTTAGTTCAGTTTCTGATCTTGTTTTCACATGTTTTATGGAAATGTTTCATTTACAGACAATTATTATGGTTTATGATTGACAATCAGTGAATCACGGCAAAAATAAATCCAAACTGATTTCAAATACTTACTTCCTTCTTAGATTCAGAGGACGATTGCTAGACAGATAGCTCTGAGCAGAAGTATAGGTAAAGGAAGGTACGGAGAGGTATGGAAGGGGAAATGGCGAGAAGAGAATGTAGCGGTTAAGATCTTCTTCACCACAGAGGAGGCCAGCTGGTTCAGAGAGACTGAACTCTATCAGACCGTGCTTCTCCGACACGACAACATTCTAGGTAGGGCATCTATAATGTCAAGTTTTGTTTTGGTATCAGATTGTATGGATGCGGTTCTTGCAAAATCTGTCAAGTTCCAGGGTGATAATGATAGATTATGTCCCTTTATATGTAACAGATTTCATATAGAATGTGCACAAATTCGGTACAAAATTCATATCTATTAAAAAAATAAAGCAATTGATCATTCTAAGGAACAGAGTTAAACAAAATGCATTACAAATTTTATTTAAAAATATATCCAGTGAGTCTCCTACATATATGGCCCGATTCATCTTTTACTGTGAGAAATAGCCGGAGTCACTTTACTTTTCAGGTTTTATTGCGGCTGACATTAAGGGTACAGGGTCCTGGACTCAGCTGTTCCTCATCACTGACTACCACCCACATGGTGCCCTGTATGACTACCTGAAGATACACATTCTTGATCAGGATGACATGCTGAAACTCGCCCACACTGCCTCTTGTGGTCTGGCCCATCTACATACTGAGGTGTTTGGCACTAAAGGTAAATAGCATAGTGATTTTTTGGACACAGGTATTTGAATCCTGGACTCATGTTTTTCCTGTAGGGCTTGCCCACTTTTTAGAACCCAGTTAATCTCTCAGTAACAGGACTCAACAATATTTCGAAAATGGTGTTCAGAACTCGCCTGAAACATCCCACAAAAATAACTAATATGATAGCTCTCCTACTTCATGCTGAGTCGGTCCAATCCAAACGTTAATAATATTCTCATAAGGTGTTCGGCTCGAAAGGCTTATGATAATGGTTATTTCCCATCTAAATACTTTGGGTTTCAACATCGATGATCAAGTCTCAAATTTTCATTCTGAAATGGGTGTATCTCCCTTTCAATAACTGAAGGAAAGTATAAAGATATATACAAATATGATTTGTTTGTTCGTGTCATCATCTATTTGATTGTTTTACAGGTAAAGCTGCTATGGCACATCGAGACATCAAAAGTAAAAACATTCTGGTCAAGAAAGATGGCAGCTGCTGTATAGCTGATTTGGGACTCGCTGTTCGATATATAAGGTAAACTCCCAGACATAACACAATCATGATTATTTATTCATCGATAAATAATACAGGCACTTATACATACTACTCTTTGTTAAAATATGAATGAGTTCGTAAGCATGTAACCTTTGACAATTTTGCTATAATACAAACAGACCATCTCAATGTTTCAAGTTAATGCGGTATACCAGAAAAATATCGCTGCAGTTTAATTCTCGCCTTTTTCACGCTATGTGATGAGGGCCAACAACATGATACACATTGAAATTAAATGTGAAGGCCCTGAATTAAATATTGGGTGAAAATGGATCTTTCTGTTGAAGGGTGAAAATTTGACTGGACAAAAATGTCCTGGTATACCGTACAAAGCTTGCCCCCTTTCCTTTTTGTAAGAGTTATCTTTCTTGACACATATTTTCTGAGATGTATATATATATACTGTCTATAACAGCGAGACCAATGAGGTGGATGTGGCCCATAATTCCCGGTCAGGCACCAAGCGATACATGGCCCCAGAGGTACTGGATGAGACGATGAACAAGACACACTTTGACTCCTACAGACAGGCAGACATGTACTCGTTTGGTCTGGTGTTGTGGGAAATTGCCAGACGTTGCGTCTCTAATGGTGAGTTTTACTCAAGTATAAGTTAATCTAGCCTATCCCATGTGTCTTATGCAAGTTCTTTAGCACTAGTTATTGCTTCAATGCTAATCAAATCCAACCCACAGGGGTTGACATGTTAGAGAACCAAATAGTTCTGTACCTTGCTACACGCAGCTTATTACTTCCTGATGTCATTGTTAGGACAGAAATTATGCTAACTTGTGTCCTGAATATTCCTAAAATATCCAATCTTCATCTGAGACACATCCAATAGGTTACATAAAAAGACTGCAGAGAATTTTATGATTGTTATGTTCATCAGATAATTGCAATAATTGTAAAAAAATAACTGACAATTTAAACAATATATTTAGAACCTTGTTAAGACTTCTGAGCAAACAAACATTGAGAAAATAGTTTGTTTCAATTGATTCAAACCACCACAGTTGTTCATTATATGCAATGAACTGATAGTTGTGTTATTGATTGTATGCAATGAACTGATAGTTTTGTTATTGATTGTATGCAATGAACTGATAGTTGTGTTATTGAGTGTATGCAATTAACTGATAGTTGTGTTGTTGATTGTATGCAATGAACTGATAGTTGTGTTGTTGATTGTATGCAATGAACTGATAGTTTTGTTATTGATTGTATGCAATGAACTGATAGTTGTGTTGTTGATTGTATGCAATGAACTGATAGTTTTGTTATTGATTGTATGCAATGAACTGATAGTTGTGTTATTGATAAGACTAAGAGATGAGCTGATAGTTGTGTTATTGATAAGACTAAGAGATGAGCTGATAGTTGTGTTATTGATTGTATGCAATTAACTGATAGTTGTGTTGTTGATTGTATGCAATGAACTGATAGTTGTGTTGTTGATTTATGCAATGAACTGATAGTTGTGTTGTTGATTTATGCAATGAACTGATAGTTGTGTTGTTGATTTATGCAATGAACTGATAGTTGTGTTGTTGATTGTATGCAATGAACTAATAGTTGTGTTATTGATAAGACTAAGAGATGAACTGATAGTTGTGTAATTGATAAGACTAAGAGATGGTCTGATAGTTGTGTTGTTGATTGTATGCAATGAACTGATAGTTGTGTTATTGATTGTATGCAATGAACTGATAGTTGTGTTATTGATAAGACTAAGAGATGAACTGATAGTTGTGTAATTGATAAGACTAAGAGATGAACTGATAGTTGAGTTGTTGATAAGACTAAGAGATGAACTGATAGTTGTGTTATTGATAAGACTAAGAGATGAACTGATAGTTGTGTTATTGATAAGACTAAGAGATTAACTGATAGTTGTGTTGTTGATTGTATGCTATGAACTGATAGTTGTGTTGTTGATTGTATGCAATGAACTAATAGTTGTGTTATTGATAAGACTAAGAGATGAAGTGATAGTTGTGTTAGTGATAAGACTAAGAGATGAACTGATAGTTGTGTTGTTGATTGTATGCAATGAACTGATAGTTGTGTTATTGATAAGACTAAGAGATGAAGTGATAGTTGTGTTATTGATAAGACTAAGAGATGAACTGATAGTTGTGTTATTGATTGTATGCAATGAACTGATAGTTGTGTTATTGACAAGAAATGAACTGATAGTTGTTTTGTTGATAAGAGATGAACTGATAGTTGTGTTATTGATAAGACTAAGAGATGAACTGATAGTTGTGTTGTTGATAAGACTAAGAGATGAACTGATAGTTGTGTTATTGATTGTATGCAATGAACTGATAGTTGTGTTATTGACAAGAAATGAACTGATAGTTGTTTTGTTGATAAGAGATGAACTGATAGTTGAGTTGTTGATAAGACTAAGAGATGAACTGATAGTTGTGTTATTGATAAGACTAAGAGATGAACTGATAGTTGTGTTATTGATAAGACTAAGAGATGAACTGATAGTTGTGTTATTGATAAGACTAAGAGATTACCTGATAGTTGTGTTATTGAGTGTATGCAATGAACTGATAGTTGTGTTGTTGATTGTATGCAATGAACTGATAGTTGTGTTATTGATAAGACTAAGAGATGAACTGATAGTTGTGTTATTGATAAGACTAAGAGATGAACTGATAGTTGTGTT